TCTGCATGGCAGTCCACCGCCATGTGGCCAAAGTCGAGGCAGCGGTAGCATTGGGGGGGGGCGTTCTTCCAGCAGGCGGACTGCGGCCCTCGTCCACCCGATCTGTATCCCGTTGGATTCCACCAGTTTATGTGCTGCCTCTAGCGGGCAGCGCAGCCAAATCGCACCGAGTCCTCCGGAGGACTGTCGGACCTCCCCGGTCTGAATGTCCTCCGGAGGACACTTGGTTAAGGAGCTTACCGCCTGTCGAACAGCCCCCTTAGTGACGCTGTCGTCCAGACCGACGATTCGGACCTCGGTCTTCTTCGTCGGCCTGGCAACGACAGCGTCACCAGCTAGGGCGTCCTCGAGATCACGGGCAAAGAGCTCGGCTTTCGCCCTAGCGCCATTGCCCGTGATCTCGAATAGAACTCCGCCATTGCGGGCTCTTTTGTATTTTAATCCAGCCCCGGGGGCTAGGCCGTGCTCCCCGAGGTCTACCTTGCCTTGCCTTTGTAAGGACCTGTGCTGTGGGTCTTTTCCCGGCAACGGGGTGATTGTCACCACCGGGTTGCGCGGGAGAGGCCTCAACTTCGCCTTTTGGGCACTCGGGGGCCCCGCAGAGCGTGGCCCCTTCTGCCCTTTCGATTTTGGAGGGGGGTGCCGCCTTTATGGCGCCCCGCGATATGTCGGTGCGGGCTTGTTCGCGGTCGCGGTTGGACGCGGGGTCCCGCCTTGCGGGCTTCGCGTTCGCGACCCTATCCCCTCCCCCTCGTTTTCGGAGGCGGCTGCCCTTCTCCGGGTTTTCCCCCTTCCCCCTACCTTTTCCCTTTTTACGGCTGGACACCGTTGTCCAGCCGTCGCCCCCTCTCGCATGTTGATCCTGCGGTGGCCTCGGAGGGCCGAGCCTCGCCGCCGCTGCGAATACTGGGGGGACTCGTCCCTCCAGTATTCGCCCAAGGCGGGCGATTTCCGCCTTGAGGCCGCGGATTTGAATCTCCACGGCCGCAAGGCGGGCATCGGCTCCCCCCTCAGAGGCCATTTCGACCAGCCCCTCGATACTTTCCTCGATATCGTCGAGGCCACGTCCTGCCTCACCGAGCTGGTCGATTGCCACTCCGTTATATATGGCTTCCGCCCCCCTACCTAATCTCTTCCCAGGGAGTACGCGAAGGTCTCTAATGACCTTTAACCCATCCACGCGTATCGCGCGATGTCCTCGGCGACCCTGGGCCTTTCCACCGGCGGGATCCCCCATTTTCTTTCCTTCCTTCGGGCGATGAACTCCTTTGGATCACGGCCTTTAAAGCCGTAATCCACGGAGCCATCGTCCTTCAGCAGTGGGCTCCACTTCCTTGGAGATTCCTGGGTGATCCCCCTCCTCTCGCGTACGGGTGGAAGCCGGTTCTTCCACCCGTCTCCTCTTCCTCGCATCTGCCGATGCTACGGGAACCGGGTCTTTACGACTCGGCCCCGCAGCACCGTCAGATACGTCCCTTCGGCGGTAGTCCTGTTGGACGACGTGCCCGCCTGGCACACGTCGCCTAGCCCGTCGTATGATGACGACGTGGAGGGGCCGGGACTGTACGCCTCTCACGCCGTTTTCCGGCTCCGAGTACCGGAAGGTGTTCTCCTTTCTTTGACATTATCTCATAAAATGCAGGGGTTTACGTCCCCTGCCCGAACGGGTGTGATTTCGGGGTTTTCCTTCCCCTAGACCGGTTGCCTGCCAAGGCTAACGAGCCGCTCTGCCCGCGCTGTAGGGTCCTTTGGGCCTCACGAATGAGACCCTCCAGACCCTGTGATAAAACCTGGAGGCAGCTGCCCATCCAGGAGTGTTATGGACACTCTTAGTCTGGCCCTCTGTACAGACCACTCCGGCATGGTAGAACCTGGCCAGGGGCCGAAGCCCCCGCCGGCACAGCTCTGTACATCATCGGGCACGCAAGCCCCCCCACCACGTCAAGGTGGTGTCCACGGGGGAAAGGTATGGTGGGGACCCGAAGGTCCCCCAATACCCCCCCGTCGTGAGGAACCGACGGGAGGTACCTACCTAGCCGGCCCCTGAAGGGGGCCGGCCTTCCCGCCCCGGGAGGGTGCTCAGAGATGAGATCTACGGTCACCTTGGAACCCACCTCCCGGTTTGGGGCTATCCCTGACTTGGTTGCGGTGGGAGGAGTTCCCCCGAAGGGGTCGGCCCTCCTCCCACCGCTCCCATCTAGGACTGTGGCCTTTCACCACGGTGGGTGTCCGGAAGCCGGCCCGAGGGCCCGCTTCGACCACCGTTCCCCTTTCCCACCCCTCACGCCTCGTCTCTTCGGTCGGGAAGGGGGAAGCCGGCCGAGGCCCGCTTCACCACCGTTCCCGACCAGACGAGGCGCCGCCAAAACACGTTGTGTGGCTGACTGACCCACCGTATCAGCCAGCCACCCTACCTTGGGAGGGCTGGTTGGAGCACCGGGAGTCCCCGCCCGGTGCCCCACCCTCCCGCCCGGCGGTTACGGGGAGATATACTCCCCTAGCCGCCGGGCTCTCCCCACCTCCGCGGAGGAATGGGGCGGGGGTCCTAGCGACCCCCCTCCCGCATGTCCGACTGGACTGTCGGACTTGCGATTAAGGGGGAGGGGCATTTGTTTCGATGATTCCTTATCATCGATACCCGTCTCCCCCCCTTACTTTTCATCCAACCCCTCTTTTCGATGGGGTCGGCGGTCTGCGGGTGTAAGGGCCTAGGCCTGAGCCGGCCCTCCACCCGCTGACTTCTCCCGTCGCTGTCCTTGGCGGGACAGCGGGGGGTGGCGGCGGTGGTAGCGCTGTAGTTCACCCCTACTGCTGGGGGGCGGTCAACATGGCCGCCGCCATCATCAGGGGGGTGAGCCGCTGTAGGACCACCACCGCCACCCTTCCGTCTCCGACTCCTCTACGGTTCCCGCGTGGGGCAACGTGCCCCCTTGCGGGTTCCCCGTCTCGCTGCTGCTGGTGCCTGGGGGGGAGCAGGAGGGGGAGGGGGGGAGGAGGAGGTGGTGGACCCACCATCCTCCTCAGTTCATCCTCCTCTGACGAATCAGCATCCCCCTCCCTGCTCCTGCTCCTCCCCGCTCTCCACTGGCGGGGTCTCTCTCTCCGCCTCCTTTTCCTCCCCCGGCCTTCCGCCCTTCTCCGCATTTCTTCCGCCTCCTCCTTCTGCGTCATGACCGATTCGCAGAAGGAGGAGAATGCATCCCATCTCGTCTCGCTCCCGAGGATCGCCCCGACTATCCTCGGGAGCGAGAGGTCCTGGCCCAAGGCCCGGACCATGACTCCGCGCTCGGTACTCCAGGCGGGGCAGTCCTGGAGTGTGTGTTGCGCGGAGTCATGGTCGTTTCCACAATGGTGGCAGGAAGTTGTGCGTTCCTTCCCAATTCGGCACAGGTACTCACCGAAGCAGCCATGCCCGGTGAGCACCTGTGCCATCCTGAATGTCAGGGTTCCGCGTGCCCTTCCTACCCACTCCTGTAGGAAGGGCCGGACGGCCTCGACGGTCCTCCTCCCGTACCTGGCGTTGGCCAGGAGCCTTTGCCATCTCTCGAGGAGGACCCGCCGAGTCTGGTGCCTCAATTCGCGTATTGCCCTGGCGAGCGGTTCACCGCCCCCCCCTGTACGGATGAGCTCACGCCTCCTGTCGTACACTCTCTTGTACGACAGGGCCGTGAGCTCCAGGGGGGGCATGCTCGCCAGGACCGTCGCCGCCACGCAGGACACGGTGCGGTAGCACCGCGCTACCCTGACCGCCAGCACCCTCTGCACTCTGCGCAATTGCGCCTGCATCGGGCGACTGGCGGCCAGGGCTTCCGCCCAGATTGGCGCGCCATACAGCGCCACCGAATTCAAAATTCCTGCGTGGAGGCGACGAGCCTTCCCGTCTGGTCCCCCGACGTTGGGCATGAGCCTGCCCAAACGGGCGGATACCACCCTTAGTCGGGGGACCAGTCTATTTACATGCTCCTTGAAGCACCAGGTGCCGTCCAATTTGAGGCCCAGATAGTTCATCTGGGCCTCCAGCGGAACCCTGACCACGCCAACCCGCACCCAGGCTTGGGGTGGCTTCCTTCCCTTTTGGTGAAAGAACATTGCTTCCGTTTTTCTTTCAGCCACCACCAAGCCCAGGTTGCGGATGGCACGCACAACTCCTGCCACCGCAATGTTTGCCGTGTTCACGGCATCCCCCCAGTCGTTCCCCCCGGCCAGTATCAAGGTATCGTCTGCGTAACAGACGATACTGCAGCCGGGGGGGAGGGCTGTCCGGAGGACAGAGTCGTATCCGAGGTTCCACAGTAGTGGGCCCAGAACTGAGCCCTGTGGCCCCCCCGCGACTCATGCCCCTCTCGCGCACCTTGCCGTCGGCGTCCGTCCATGTGAGACGCCGACCCCGGAAATAATCCTCGATGACGGCCACGAGGTAGGGTGGGAAGCGGAAGTAGCTCCGCATCGCCTGCACCACCCTACCCCAGGGCAGGGTGTTAAACGCGTTGGCGATATCCAACGATATCGCCACCGCCACCCTGCCCTCCGTCACGATGGCCTCCGAGAGGGATCTCAGATGCTTGATTGCATCTACTGTGGATCTCCCCTCCCGGAAGCCATATTGACCGTCATCGAGGTTGGGACCTTCCCGGGACATATGCTCCTGGAGGCGGGCAGCGATAATCCGCTCGAACAATTTGCCCGCTTCGTCCAGGAGACATATGGGCCGGTACGCGGAGGGGGAGCCCTCCGGTTTGCCCTCTTTTTGGAGGAGGACCACGTTGGCCCTCCCCCAGACTGGGGGGAACCTCCTTTCCCTGAAGGCTCGCGAAAAGAGCGTAGCGAATCTCCCATTTAAATACCCTGAGGCCAGGGTCAGGACACGGCCGGGGATGCCATCCGGTCCGGGAGCTTTCCCGTTCTTGACCTTCTTGACACCCCCGGCCACCTCCTCCTCTGTGACCCCCGGTACCTCCCCCTGTTGTTCGGGGGATGGTGGAATGTACGGGGTGATGGGGTTACCCTCCCCAACCGGGGAATAGGGTTCCCATCACCCTCTCCAAGAACCGGGGGTCAAGCGTCACCGTCTTTGGGGGCGTCCATGGTCTCATCTTCTGCATTACCATTCTGTATGGACGCCCCCACGGGTCAGCGTCTAGTGAGAGGAGGAGGTCGTCCCACCCTCTTCCTCTGGCCACCCCGATGGCCTCTCTGAGTTCTACTGCTGCTTTGCAGAATTCCATCCGGGTGGCCAGGACGGCCTCAGGGTCCTGGGGTCGCTTATTCCGCTCATTTCGAAACGTCCGCCTGGGGTGGACCGACCTGCGCCTCAACTCGGCTATGTGGTCGGACCACCACCAGGCGGACCGTTTCGGGCAGGACCTGACTCTGGGCATGGAGGCGTCGCACGCCTGTGCGAGTATGTCCATGACCTCCATGACCTCAAGAGTCAAGGTCCTGCCCTTCCCTTCGTCGTGGCCAGGTGGAGCCTTCCAGGGAGATCTCCAGGATCCCCTGTTCAGCTTGGCCAGTGACCATCTTCCAGGTCGGGGTTCCTTCCTTTGGACCGGCCTCAGGCCATTGGGGGTGACGGACAGTTCCATCTCGATAATCAGATGGTCCGACAAGGTTTCGATCTCGTCCGCCACCCTCCAGGTCTGCACCCTCCCCATGGCAGCAGGGGTTGCCATGTTAAGTCGATAATTGACTCCCCCCGCTGCCCTACAAACGTGGAATTATTTCCCTCATTGAGGATGTGCAGACCCAGGCCCTCGGCCCAGTCCACTGTTTCCTCCCCCCCTGTCACCGCGCCGGGATCCCCACACTTCTGACTTTGCATTAAAATCCCCGGCAACGATACAGGACCCTGGAGATGCTGTCTCACAGCATCTCCGATCTCTTGGAGCCTGGACCTGTACTCAATCAGGCCCAGGCTCTTTGCTGGGGGAGGTATACCCCGACCACGATGGTCACTCCCCCACCTGACCACGACGTACCCCCGGCCACAACTCAAAAACTTTGCCGGGGGAGTTTTCGCTCGCCTTCCATGTGATAGCGACAGAGCCCCTGTCGTCCCAAACCACCTCGGGTGGTTTCTGGGGACATAATAGGGCTCTGCCGCTATCCCTAACCCTG